GAGCTGCACGACCTACTTGGCAAACAGCATGGCCCGAATGCATTCGTGTTACGGTCAGCTGGTTACTCGACCTCAGCAGATAGTTGACCGTGCATATATCCTAGATAACATTCCTTCTACTCAGAATTGACCATAATATCGCTGCGACTTAAGTAGAATTACAAGTCTTGTCGGCGAAGAGAGATTTATGAAGATTTTAAAGCTCATCTTTAGTCTTACGACCGTAAACCGACTTGTACAGAGCTCCTCTAGATGTTACCTCGACTAACACAGCAGACATGAATGTGGCAGCGCGCGAGCACGGTTCTTTGTGAAGATAGCCAGTGAAAATATTCCCGACTTTCGGACTGATAGACATGGCTCAATTGTGGATCAGTACCAGTTGCTGTCGCTAGTCATGGTGAAGATACAGGATACATGCTGTTTTTTTAGGATGGTAGGATTCTGTGTCCATCACGTCGAGGAATTCGGTTTGTTTTCATGCTTTGTCTTCACATACGCAATGCAAAACTTCCACTAATGTTGAATTCGAGGATATAATGCTCACTGATGTAGATTTACAGGGTCGCCAAGTCACTTCTCGGTTGTGCCTAAGTACCCTGTAACCGCAGTCGCGTGTTAGTGCTGGCATCTGGCAGGATCGCCTCACAGAAGGTGCAGCGAAGTCACTGAGCTGCAATCTTAGAATACACCGCAACGTACTCCGTGTGCTTACGATCACCACCTACCTAGATAGGAGGCCACTTGGCTGTATAGTAATACGAAGGTCCAGAGAACGCACTGGACCTAATCATCTCAGAAGCATCTTGGCTCTTTCATCCTCATCTCGACGGCGACAAAGCTACACCGAGGCTTTATCTTGTATTTAAGGACAGCATTTCCCCGTACAGATACCTCTTCACAGCACAATCACTTCCAACAGCCACTCCTTTACCTTTCTTACAACTTCCCACAGACGATTCTCAAATCTCGATTCTACTTCACCAACCCCGTCAACATGCATTCCAACACAATCATCTCCACGGTCATTGCCGCCATTGGCATGTTCGCCACCATTACTTCCGCCGAATGCACAGTCAAGTGGACAGACACAAACTGCTGCTTTCACGACAAGAAGGCGCGCACGCTTCAGGATGGATGGACTACCGTCATCCCCGGCACGAAGACTGGCGGAGAAATCCGTTTTGCAGACGGCAATCTGTGTCCAGACTCAGTCAAGGCCACTTGCAAGGCGAACTGCTGCGACCCGACAACTGGATGGGGCAAGGGTTGCCCTAAGTAAAGGTTTTTTAACATCTTTACTCGAATTTTACTATAATGTGAGTTCTTCATATTAGCTTGGTCCTGATGATGTCTAACGGAATTCAGATCTTTCTAATCAGTGTTGATGAATACTAGACGCGGTAATTCCGTATGGTGGCTACTGGAAGACTATGGATATCAGCTAGGAGTATCTCGAGCTTAATTTGTAACTTGTGGGGTTAAGGCTTTTGTACTTTGGGAAGCAGAGTTCGATTTGAACGCTCTTCCATCCATTCATTAGGTATAATAAAGAGTTCGATCTTATCAACGTGTCTGCATAGCCAGATATACTGGTGACTTGCAATACAAAGGAAAGAATATACTAACAAGCAGGAAGATTTGAGAGAAACAGCGTGTTAGAAAGGCTCACAAGCCTCAGCTCACAAGCCTCAGCTCACTGCCGATTACGAAGGAACGATAATAGACGCTTGATTGTGCTACGGCCACCGATTCATATGACTTGTTTCACGTCGACCGCTTTCTAAGCTTTTATCTTGTCTCAAGCGATGGCGATTTGACACGAGTCACAAACCGCATTCCAAAACAACGGGTGACTATCCACGGATTTGGAGAGTGCACATTGAATAATGCTTCTATTGCTGCTTTCGACGATACACCTATCTCAATGCGCCCAACATGCTGCTGGAAAGGTTCCTGCCCTGATTAATCGCCTAGTGTCCGCGACCCTCTTTGTTCCGTTAACACTGTCAGATTATATGGCCAGAGAGACCTTGGTTCATCTGCACTCGATAGATCGGCTAGAGCTTTTGGCAGATGACAAGTAATTGATCATAAAGATGCATTCCTTGTTGCAGTCGATTCAAAAAGTGTATTTCGAGGTATGCTCGGACCATAATTATGGATAATGATTCATTCCCAGTTTACTGAAGAAACTCCCAAGCATGAATAACCTAATCTGCCTCTCGTGTCTTGTCAGCCCATGATAGCCTTGGTTTTATCCACTTCGTCTAACCACATCACTCTGCCGCCTTCTTGATCCCACGTTTCTCTTCTATTTCTTCCTGCCCTTTCCCGGATTCCAGAATGCTTCATCTTCTTTGCCTTTTTCAACTTCTTCCTGGTTCTTCTTTGCCTCCTTTTCCTTCGTTGCTTCCCTTATAAATCTTTGCTTGCACTTCAGACAGCCGTCCTGGTTTTTTAGATGAGCTCTGCCTTCGCAGCCATTACGGCATGGCATCTCGTGCTTCTTGCAGTAGTACATATTGCCGATGTGATCTTCATCACAGCCTCCGGGGCTCTCGTCGCCGACCCAGCCTGACTTTCCGGGGCAATGATGCTTAGTCCCCCTGCCTCCAGTAGGATTGCCGTTCTTATCCATGGTACTAGTGTGTTGAAAACTCCGAAAATGCTTTGTAGTTCTCCTGGAGCTATATGTCTATTAGTGGAGTTGAGTGTTGGATTGCGCAGACGTTGAATGACTTGCGGGAACATTTTATACGTGAAGTTCACGAAATGCATTGTAGCAATATGAGACCTAAAGTTAAGAAGGTGAATCAGGCTGAGCGTTCACACCGTTCGCGCAGTGATGATCCAGAGGGAAACAACCCTGTGCACCGACAAAACTTGTCACTAGCAAACAAAGAATTGCCAGCATAACAACGCGCCCAGTTTCAAAGGTACATAACCACATCAAAACACTATTTTCCCCACATCACAACGCTTCTTCATGTCCTTCGTCAGAATCATGTCAGCTCATCTTTCTACTTCTTCCACTTCGCCCGCATACGTTGTAGATGCATCTTGCGTCGAAACATCGCCCATAGGGACAAGCACACAACATGTAAATGATCTAAAAGATGGCGTTGATCAGCAGCAACAGAAAGCGCATGACGGTGTAGCCTCGGAAGTGGCAACGACTCTCTGCGGACAGGAACCATTCGAGACCTTCCAGCACAAAGTTGCTGAATTCGTCACGGAACATTTTCGCCGAAGCCTTAAGGATATCGCGATCTATGAGATGACGGGTGGCACATATAACCGAGTCATTGGAGTCACGATAGCATCATATCCAAAGAAGTTTGGATTGCACTCGTTCTTGACTTGCTGCTTGGGCGCACGCAAGAAGAAATCGGTCGCAAAGTTCGATTCGTACATCGTGCGCATCCCACGTATGAGTTTCAGCGGCGACGATTCGGATACTCATATGGCCAAGAAAATGAAGCACGAAGTTTCAATTTTGGAGGCGGTCGGCTCACGGCTACCCTTGCCGATTCCTAAGGTCTTCAGCTATGACCTTACGACCACGAATATGTGCGAACGACCGTACATGATTCAGACGCGCCTCCCTGGCCGTAATCTTGGTCTGGACTTATGGAACCACCTCAATATGCAGCAAAAGCAGTGCATTGCCAAGCATGTCACCAATCTTGCTTCCATCATCGCCTCAGTCGAAGGCCCTGCTGGTGATATATCATCCGAAAATCTTTCGCAGTCATCCACTTCCCCGATCTGCGTCAACACATTCTGTGCACCAGCTTATGACGATCAGCCAACATGCAAGCCGGCATTGGCACGCAAGCCTATCGATCATCTTTTGGAGCAATGCGAGCGGTGGCGCGCATGGGAAAGGTCCACTGGATTTTGTTTCGAAGAAGTCTGGGACGGGTTCGAAACAATTTCAAGGGCTCTGGAAATGCGCGGCTTCTTAGACGGCCCGTGTGTTCTGGTTCACGGCGATCTCAAGCCTTACAACCTTCTGGCGGAGGTGCGTAACGAGACTGAAGTGGATATCACGGGTGTCATCGATTGGGATTCAGCTATCATTGCGCCTGAATTCATGGCCTATAGAGCACCATTCTGGCTTTGGACACCGGAAGATATGGATAGCGACAAAGAGGACGAAGAATGTGTGGCGGATGTTGAGCCTGTTACAGATGAGGACAGAATGTTGAAGCAAGTATTTCTTGACAACGCGTCCGAGAAGTACAAGCTCTATGCCTTCGCACCAGAGGCGATGCTGGCTAGACGTATGTTTTTTATACTAAGAGAGAGCTTGCGCAGTGATTGGGAGTTCGAAGAGGCGAAAAGCGTGATACGGGAGTGGATTGAACTTCATCCCGAGGATGGAGTCCAGCCCGTCCCTTCTGATACGGATTCTGAACCTGAATCTGGATCTGACGACGACCAGGACGACAATGAGTAATCTGAGGGAATTGGGTATTGAGGAAGTACATGCCTGCTTCGCACCAGAGTTTATGGCCCTCCGCACTCCATTTTGCGACTGAAAGGAGGGTTATGTCGATGAAATAGACGAAGGCTTAGCTACATACGAGCCGCCTGTGAAGGATTGTAAGACACTTACAGACGCTTTCCGGCCTGAAGCTTACATAAGCTCATCAGGTTCGGTCTACCGTGAGAGGATGGCATTGCAAGGAAGCTGTTAAGTGTCCTATCCGCTGGCATACTAAGCTACGATCGGCGTTGCCTGGTTCTTGAGTTGGTGAAACAGTAGGATGCTCCTTCACAGAAGACAATTTTGGGGCTTATGAAGCAATAGGAACTTGAATGTCTCTAGTAATTCTGCTTGCTGTCTGGTGTATGTTGACTGAGTTTCATGTAATAGTATTGACGATTTGATATCTTTCATCCGACTACATGCGACTTCGCTCGCCGCACAATTACCAGGAAATGAAGGCGGTTTTTCAACCCCGATAATAGAATATACACACTGTCGCTGATCATTTCAAGGTGATGTAGCAGTGGTGTCCTACAGGAGAGATCAAAAACCTATTGTCCATCTCCATCATCTCATCTTTCATACATTCGGAAATTTTGGCGCCACGACATTGTCGGAAGAAGAGAGCTGCTGCTAAGCGAAGCTCTATGTATGCGAGATGAATGCCAATACACACCCTAGAGCCGCCTCCGAACGGCATGTATGACGCTTTTTGATGGGCTGACAGGGTAGGTTTGTTCAGGAATCGCAGACCATCGAATCGCAGTGGGTCGGCGAAGGCTGATGGGTCTCGGTGATTTGTGTAAGCCTGGGTACTGACTACAGCACCGCCGGGAATGTGATATCCATTTATGGTTGTGCCTTGTTTGGGAACAGTTCGAGGTAGCGCTCCAGGCGCAGCACCATAGAGCCTCAACGTCTCTTCAATGACGCTGTTCAAAATAGGCGCGTTCTCAAGTTCTTCTTTGGTCAGTTCATCGCTTGAGTGTGCGATTTCGTCCTCGAGGCGAGTCTGCAGGTCCGGCTGTTTTAGAACTGCCCAGACGAGATAGGTCAGGGTGACTGCGGTGGTGTCTGATCCCGCAACAATGAGGTTTCCCGCTTCCTCCCGAATATCCTTGTCTGTTAGTGAAACCTTCTCGTTATTTTCGCAAGCAGCCAGCATCTGACCAAAGAGATTCATAGCGTTCCCGTTGCGGTTGCGCATATTCTCGATCGCACGCCGGCCGTATCCATATACGACATCATCAGTGGTTACCATGGTCTGTATTCGCTTCAAGGGTATGAGCCGAAGGATATTGTATACGATCGGTAGTTCGGATCGCAACACCGATCCAAGCAGCGCGGCCTGGATAGCGTCAATGTAGGGTGTTTGCTGTTCTGTTTGTCAGACTGTCTAGCTATATTATCATGAGGCCGAAGTAGATCACATACCTTTCCCAGTTCAAGCATGTTAAAGCTTTCTCCGAAACAAAGATGTGCAATCACATCGGTCGTCATGAGCGTCCACCACTTGAAGATATCGGCCCCTTGCGATGAACCAGAAGCATCCTGGCGGATCTTTTGGACAGCTAAACCCACTTTTTGTCTAACTTCTACATCCCAGTTGCTGTTCAAGCTGCTATTACTGAAGGCTCGGGCGAACAGCCTCCTTCGGGCGGCGTGGGCATGTGGGTCGCGCATAGCGAAAATTCCAGGTGTATCAGTTGGCACAAGGACCGAGTAGAAGTCTGACTTCAAAAACCCGCCACCAATCTTATGTATCTGAGTCACACCTCCTGTGTCCGAAACGGCGGCCTCGTTTGGTGCAATCCGTACGACACCGCCATATTGCTGGTGAAGCTTGTCCACGTAGAAGATCCGCCTGCCTGAGAGGACCTGGTAACGAAGGATGAGGTTGGTGTATCTTGAGTACCAAGGCCCTGGTAGCTTTGCAAGTGGGGATGTATACCCTGCCCACACGACCTGTACTCCGTCAGCCTTCAGTGAAAGGAGATCAGGTTGGGTTATCATACCTTGGCGATGTAGGCCAGTACAACCAGGACCGCGATTACAATGCCTCGCTGAAGCGACATGGTGTCTTGATTTCACTGAGCTTGCACTTTTGAGTGGCACTGATCTCGTTCAAACAGGATACTCGGCTCCCGGTGAATATGCACAACGGCAGATCATAGTTTCAAATCAAGGGCTGCGCGCTATATACATGCTCGGAATGTGGAGACCGGCCTCTAAAAGGCCCTTCGTTCGTCGATGGCTCCATCCGGAATCATGGCGACGCATCGTGCCGCAGTACCGCTCTCAAGCAGCCCTGCACGCAGACAGAAGAAGGACCGTGTGGGCCAGAAACCCTGTCTCATAAGAAATCAAGAGATCAAAACGTAGTTGCTAGTTGGAGCGGAGTGGTGATAGGAGCGGAATGGTGAAGAGAGCGGAGTGATGGCATGCCAAGTTCCGCCTCTCCCCACATGAATCCTCGGACGTGCTTTCGCCCGTTCCGAACGGCCCGCGCTCTAACGATCTACACTGCGGTTTCGTTTCGTGGGGATGCGGAAGCCACGGTCTCCGAGGCTCTAACGCTGCTTTCGTTTGCGCAGTATGCTGTTGCTGGCATGGTGCGATCTTTCTTGATGAGGCAGGACATGACGTAAGCGTATTCGTGTAATCAGTACCCAGGTGCTTGTAAGCTAGTGGCCGTTCATACCAAATAACAAATAACAGATGATGACGTAAGCGTCTATGTGCTCGATCCAAGGATTGTTTCATCAATTTCCATTCCTCCTCCCCGCCTCGCGTCCATCAGTTCCCACATTACTAGCAAGATGACGAATCAGACTGGACCCCACACAGTTCTGCAGCAAGGATTTGCGAAATTACCTTTGGAGTTGTTTCTCACTGTCCTCGATCAACTTGTGGGTACCCGCAACGGACAGCAGCAGCCCGTAGCATACGAGCCATCAGGCATCGTCACCAAGACATTACGCGCGCTCACACTAGTATCGCGCAGTACTTACCTCATAGCGACAAAGTATCTTTACTCACACTGTCTATACTTGGATAGCTGCACGACCTACGCTCGTTTCCGTAGAACATTGGGATTGCATCTCGGGCATCATCCACAAGCTCTTGATTATGGAGAAGCTGGGCGTAACGACGAATTATTTGCGGAAGCTCAGGTCTTACGAAATATCACATCTCTCTTCGTCTCACCATCGAAGGTGCAAAGGTTGATAGAAGGCAACTATACGCCTTTGGTGCGACTGTCACAGATCATCGACCTCTGCGATTTGATTGGACCTACACTCAGGAGGCTGGCTTTAGACCTGTCTCCGATCTATGCGACACCAACCGAAATCGAGCAGATGAGACCGCATGTCACTGAGAATAATGTCTTCATACACATGCCGCATCTGGAAGAACTGATCATCAGCTACGACGTGCTCAATTACTTCCGACACCCACCACCCAACTTGAAACGGCTGGCTATCACTGCTCAGGAGCTCACGGATGTGGAGGTAGCTTTCTGCCTCAAGATACCGTCACTACGAATGCTGGTCATGATGCGACCCGTCAATCTGGAAGCCAAGGACATCGATATTATATTTACAGCATACAATGGCAAAAGCTTGGACACTGTTCTAGTTGATGTTAACTCAAATCATCGGACACCTCAGGGGACGCGGAGTTGGAAAGACAACGATACAGTACGCATTTGGGAAGTGGATGTACCGGTGAGCTTCTACGGCGACGAAGACGACGTCGTACTGTGTGATGATTGGATATGGACACACGGTGTTCAAGGAACCTTGTGGAGTCAGGACAAGCGACGTATGGCTTCCTGGGAGGAGATTGAGAGACGTTTGGCCGGGCCAGTACATACAATCATGGAAGTATAGCCCTAGAACTACTGAGAACCTAGACCATACTCATCGAGTAACCTTGACATGGCATGAGTGCCGGTTCTACATCCAAGTCCGCACGTTGCTCTTGCCTCACAAAACCTCTCCGTGCAGCGCTCCGCTGACTGACCATCAAGCCTTCTACGTCTGCCGCCACTGAGTTCCGCAAGACGCCGCTATCCCATCATTACAGCCCCCACTAGACCTCTCTTTCAGCCCAACAATGAGTCTTTCCTCGAGAGGTTTTCTGATTGCTTCTCCAACTCCCCCACATTCCATGTAACATGTACACAGGTTCCCTTGAGCTTGTCCGCTCTCCCTCCACCCAACCACACCGAAAACATCCCAATGAGCTCCAGATTATCGAATGCGAATGGCTCGAACATGTCGAACATTCTCTCCGTTCTTATGCTTCCAACGTCAAGCGAGAATGCTTTCATGTCTGGGTATTCTGTGTTGAGGAACTCTATGAGGCGGCGATCGGCATCTTTCGCGATCTGATGCGAAGAGAGGCCGGAGCTTACGACGGTATCCGTTCCAGATGTGATAGATATGAACGTCCCAGTAGGTGCTGGACCAAACGTACGGATGTATTGGTGGGCCGGGAGATGTGTGCTGCGGAAGTTCGTCGTCATATCGGCCCACCACTCGTCGTTGTCGTCCGTCTCCCCTATCGTGCTGGAATGTGCGGTACCGACGTTCGCTATAACTATATCCAGCTTCCCAAACTGCTCTCTAATAGCAAGGAATAGTTTGGTGACATCTGCTGATCTTGTGGTGTCGCAGGCTGTAGCAAAAAGCTTTCCCGCCGGGTTCAGCCTTCTGAGCTCAGCGATCACCTGCTCTAGATCTTCTGCATTTTGACTGCAGATTGCGATGCCTGCAGCCCCTGCTTTTGCCCATGATAGAGCAATTGTCCGGCCAATATCTCTCGCCGCACCAGTGACGAGTACGTACTTTCCTGCTCCAGTACGTTGCACTGCTTCGAGAGCAGCACATGGATGGCGATGGTATAGACTAGTGGTCTCGGCCATCTCCATGGAATAAGCTGGGCTGATATCTCAGGCGGCCGTGTGGAAATGTAGATGTTGGCCGACAGATGTTGTGGAGCATGTCTCAAATATCACTGTCACTCATTTCACCCCGGAACTTCTAATGCTGCTATGACACCGTCAGCGCTCGCCCGACGCGATGCCGCTTTCAAGGCATTCTACTCTTTCTCTGGTAACGAGTTCGGGATGGTCCGGTCATTAGTCCGTCGCTATCATCCTTCGTGCACCCAAACCCATGGCCAAACATACTCAAAAGACGATGTCAATGATCCCTATATGCGTCTCAATTCTGAATCACACTCTTGGGCTATCTCGCATGCATGTGTTTCTTGATGGTAGTGTAATTCTATACGATCAGACCAGTCAAACCTTGCCTTTATCCTACTCGAACCTAGATCGGCAGGCCTCGTGCACCCTGACAGGTGGCAGGTCGGTACCAGATACTAACTCTTAAGCGTCTGGTAAAGCGAATGTCTAAGTATAGAGTCTTTCTAAGGTCAATATGTACAAGATGCGCTCGCTACTACCCGCGAGCTATTAATAGGCCACCAACATGCAGATTGGAAGGTCCACAGCATGACCGAAGGGCCGATAACATACCGATTGGACATAGATTGAACGCAGGAATGTTTGCTCTTCGCTTGGAGTTGAGTTGAGCCAATGCGAAGCTTTCGAGCACGTTGATAATCTTACATACACGTAGTTGGGGGCGAAAACTGCGGCCAGTATTTGCCGACCCACGTCGATGAACGGCTAGATTCTGCCGGCTACTTGCGTATGATAGCGAGATAGAAGAGCAACGTGAACATCGTCATATCATGTATAACCATAGGACACAAACTCAGATCAATGATATCATTAACGACATTCTCAGAAAATGACGCGATCGTAACAATCTTCCACTCATGGCCTGGCTCTCCAGCACTAAGCAACGGCTACCTCCTGCACCCCAACAACGGTCTCGCTTTTCTTTCTCGCCTCTTCATCTCTCTTCCACTTCTCCGCCCGTCCATAAGAATCCTTGTACCCACCCAAAATTGCCTGTTCAACTGTAATCGGAGGCCACTTTGGTTGTTCCCCGTCCGCCTTACAATTTGGCAGACAACTAACCACATAATCCGGGTTTCCAGAGAAGAAGACAGGAATGCTGTACCTCTCCTCGCCACTCACGTTAATGACGCGATGGAGATTGGATATGTAACGATCGTTGCTCCATCGCATCATCAAGTTACCTAGGTTCACGACGAAAGCGCCAGGAGTGGGGGTTACATCGAGCCACTCTTTTGTCGTGTAGTCGTAGACTTGAAGACCAGAAACAGTATCTTGGAGTAAGATTGTTATGCAGCCAAAATCTGTGTGTGCGCCGATTCCACGAGTGAGTTTTGCTGGGCTGTCGGGTGGCTGCGAGGGGTAGTGGAGGAGCCGCATTGTTGCTACTGCGCCGCTGGCGTATTCGTCGAAGTAGTCTTCAGATAGATCGAGGGTCAGAGCGAGTACTTTTAGGATATCTTTTGCGAGCTGTACGACTTGGGCGTAGTACTCTAGTGATGTGTTCTTGAAGTCTTGCACGTCTGGTAGAGATGACTCCGAGGGCCACATGTTTGGGCCAGAGTTGAGTCTTTTGTTGAGAAAGTAGGGATGTGTTTTGGGAATTTCATCGCCGATGTAGTATCCTTCTTTGAGCTCTGGCGATGTTCCTTCTTCCAACATCTGGGATTTGAGCAGCTCGTAACCGCGGTTCCATGTGTTTGATGTATCTAGACAAAGGTATCAACAAGACGTCATGTGCAAAGGTCGCTCTACTTACCCTTGTTTACTTTGTTCTTCTCTTCTAATGGCAGATTGAAGAACTTCTTATTCCAGTCCATCATCTTCTGCTGCAACTCGATGGGTACGTTATGTCCGGTAATCTGGAAGAAGCCATTGTGCAGACAGCAGTTTCGCACTTCTTCTACAAGCTGTTTCTTGGAAGTCGCATCACTCTGGTAGAATTCTGGTAGTTGTTAGCGGTGACTATAACAGAACAAGTTCAGCATAGTTCGGGCCTACGAACTGGAGAAGTCCAGAATGGGAGGAGCATCGCCGGCGCTAGGCATGTTGAGCCTTTTAGTAGGTCTATGAGGTAAGGAAACAGTACAGGTGGTGTTGTTGATAGATGCTGGATGTTTTTGAGGTATGAATGTAGGAATGAAAGATGTTTGCGGTGGTTTGCAACGAAGCATCACATTACATCGAATGGTATTATATCCTAGTTTCTCGCCAGATCCGCTTTCCATATCCCCATCTCTCACCTACCCCTCACATGCGCGGCGCTATCGATAGCGGCGTTGCGCTGGAAAGATGGCGCGAGTGGGGTTTCGAAGTCCTCCCAAGGTTCACCCCCACCCTTGCTTTCAAGTCACGACTGGCCAACTGTAAGATACGTCAAGTAGATGGTGCATCCTACACACCTGGAGGCAGACCCAAAGAGTAACAATTCTCCATTATCCGCAGGTCACAGCGGAGCTCAAGGCTTACCTAGGTAAATTCCAATCATGATCGGAGCAAGCTGAAGTACTCTACAGGGTTCTCATCTTGCCGTCAACCCACTCTAGCATAATGATCTTGCAAGTTGACCAACTCTGGTCCCCAGCTGGTCTGAGTTGGAAGGTCATCTATGACCACACTGTCCATACTTGATCTGTACCGTTCACCATGGTCATCCGGGAGTGTTGTCGCGAGCCTCTGGTCGTAGTGGAGCTTTTGCTAACCATCCATCATGTACTCAGTATCAGTCCTGTCACCGATGCGACACATGCCATCCCATAACACCGTGTACAGGCTCCTTACGATCATATACTCGGGTGAACAAGCATGTCATTTTGGTGCATCACCGGCCATTGTTTTCCACGATCTCTTTGTGTGTTGAAGCTCTATGTCTGCCGGCTCGTGTGCAGCAGTCATCACATCGTATTCTTTCCGATCTTCTAAAGCGCACGAAAGTCGAGATGACAAAACCCCGTGAAGGATAGATGTGTCGCAAATCCATAACGGTCTGTGCAAGCCCATACAGGATAGAGTTAATCGGTAGTTTCGACGTGCCGTGGAGACAGACAAAAAGGGATCGCTGAGACTGAGGGAGAATTGCTACCTTGTTTACGGGCGATGGGAGCAAAAGAGACAGGGCTGAAGGTCGACACACGACGGAAGGCATTCCGTCATTGCCCAGTCGCTGATTGGCCAGGGAAAACTCGACCATGGGCGGCTGGCCCCACCTTCCCATTAGTAGTGCTTGGTCATGCTCGACATAAGCAGCCCTTCCCTGCCAAGCCTCACCTAAACACCCACCGGATTGTTAAACCTTTACCAACCAGGCAAGCCCACGATGGCACCCACGCCCAACTGCCCTGGACCGATCTTCGAACATTCTCGTCACCCTAGTCGCGTTTTGCATAAAGCGCCCCCTCCCGACCCATGAAGACGCTTTCCTCCATCTTCATCGCCCTCATCGCAATTGCATTTGCCGTCTACAACAACGAGTACATGCTTTCGAGACTCACACAGTCACTCAAACACGTCACATCCCTTGCAAAGACCACCAAGCCCTTGTACAACACCACCCAAGACATGACGACCATGTTCCGCGGACTGCCCGTCATCCCCGACGAGGCCTTTACGACCGATGCGCCCCGCAAGATCGCGAAGTCGTTCCTTGCGATTGAGCAGTCCGAAGGCGCGGGAGCCAAAGTGAGGAGGAGTGTCGGCACTCCAAAGCTCCGCAACTTCTCCCCATTCCTCATGCTCGACCACTTTGCCATTCCACCAGGCGCAGGTTTCCCAGATCACCCACACAGAGGTATGCAACTTCCCCTTCTCTCATGCCTAGTACATCTGCGAGCACTATACTGACTTCTCGATTCGTACAGGCCAGGAAACCATCACATATCTTCTCTCGGGCGCTGTCGACCACGAAGACTTTGCAGGCAACAAGGGAACCATCGAGCAGGGCGATCTACAGTTCATGACAGCCGGCCGCGGCATTGTCCACGCTGAGATGCCACGCCAGAACGAAGACGGTGCGCCCAACGTTGGAATGCAGCTCTGGGTCGATCTGCCCAAGGAACTGAAGTCGTGCGAACCGCGTTACCGAGACCTACGAGCCAAGGAGATCCCTGAGACGACTGCCGACGATGGCAAGGTGCACGTCAAGGTCATCAGCGGACAAGCCTACGGCACCGAGAGTCTGAAGGAGTTGGCATACACCCCCGTTTGGCTGCTCGACTTCACAGTCCAGCCCGGTGGCAAAGTCAAGCAGCCCCTACCAAAGGGCTGGAACGCTTTCGCCTATCTCCTCAACGGCACCACCATCTTCTCGTCCGACGGCGTATCGCGACCTGTCGAACAATACCACAACGTCGTTTTCGACAGCAACGGCGACAGCATCGAAGCCTCAGTCGAAGAGGGCGCCGAGAAGGAGTCGAGATTCATTCTCGTCGCTGGTCTTCCCCTCGATCAGCCCATTGTACAATACGGGCCATTTGTCGTAACATCAAGAGACGAGGTCATGCAGGCTATGATGGACTACCAGAGCTATTCAAATGGGTTTGAAAGAGCAAACAACTGGGAAAGTGAGATTGGAAAGAGTATGGTTCACTAAGATGCCTACTTCCGCCTACCTTTTCTTTCCTGGTCACTTCTTATGTATATACTAAATTACGATTCCATTTTTCTTTGCCTTACAACCCCTGGTCTCATCCCATTTCTCTAGGATTTATCAATCGGTAACATACGTTCACCAATATATGGCCACGCACCTGACACTGTTCTGCGCAACTCACATACTCACGCACCCAGCCGAGCTATCTTCTACGAAAATGCCTCCATAAATCTGTCCTTCACCGCGCAGTGGTATGTGCTCTTGGTACCCATCGAATACCACCGTCTCTGTCTCTGTAGGTTTCTTTGCAATACCGATCTGCAGCTGACCTCCTCCAGCATTGTCATTTGGTAAAGCCTTGCTGACCGCTTTCAACGGCTTGTCGCCTGTGGAGTAATAAACCTTGATCGTACTATACATCTCGTCAGCTTTCCCAACAATCAATCGAGCCTCATGGTATGAGCAAATGCAAGATACTTACTTCCGCACATAATCCAACTGCACTCCAAAATTTTGCCATTCCCTCCTCGAAATCTTCGTCGTGAAGATGAATTCATTCTTCGTATTCTGGATCTTCCAAGTCTCCCTTTCCCGCTTCGTGTCCACACCCGTCCCACCATCACCAACAAGCACAACACCACCAACGAACATGAACTGGTTGCCCGAGTAATCAGCCTTCTCATGCCACACATTCATATACTCGTGACTCAGATTCAGCGGCCTCCGTTCGTCTTGTTTAATGCTCCAATGAAACGTCACAATACCCTTGTCTGAAGCATCAGCACCAGCGTCATTCTGGTCGTCTTTCAGCAGAAGACCTGCACGGCGGAAGCCAGTCTGCAGGTTCTTGCCCGCACGAAACAACGAGCCGTCATCGATGGTCACTTCGAGGGGCTTGTGTTGACGCGGATTGTCGAAGCGGGATTGCGGGGCGGTTTTGGGCGAAGGGAAGAGAAGGATGGAGGACCAGGTACGGTTCTCGCCTTTGACGAAGTCGGGATTGTAAGGGGTGGATCCTTGAGCTGTGTCAAAAGACTGGAGAGTCAGGTTGGAGGCGATGCGACCGTCGAAGATTATGGGGCATTTGATGTTGGATTTGGGTTGGTGTGAGTGTTGCAGTAGCGGAGTTGCTGCTGTTAGAGCCAAGAATGGAAGGGAAACAGAGAGATGCATGGTTAAGAAAGGTTGACCCTATAGAATCGCCAAAACTCACACAACCATAAGTCTAGGCAAAGAACTCATTTATATGGTTCTACTGTTTAGGACGCTAGCCAGCCCTACGGATATTGGCTAATTAGGTAGAGCGGCAGAGCACTATGGGCCAAGATCTAGTGCAGCCACATTCCCGGAACATCATTGGCTCTAGTCCGACGGACCTGGAATCCGGTCACCTTCAGTGGTATCTCAATGCGCTAGTTCGAGACTTCGTTTAGCAACTCATACACCGGCGACTCGAATCGAGTAGAGAGAGACGACAACTTCCTTCTTCTATCGTCATAGAACGTCTTTCCATCCCTTCCAGATCTTTGCGAACTGGTCTTTGCATGCTCTTCCGAACAACAGGTAATTGTGTCTTCGGGCGCCGCATCACAACGACACGGATCAAGATTACATGACCTACCGAAACCGCAGTATGGACAGTGTGATTTTTGCGATTGAATGAACCAGCTAGAATCGGTAGAGGCCGGTCGATTTTCTCGTCACTTTCCCCGGCACGGGTTGTTCATTGTCCCAGAACTTGAGAGAGCGAATCGGCTTCCATGTCCACTGCGCTTCGTCGTTTAGAGCGCTGTCCAAGACCCAGGTAATGGCAGCAGTAAAGGCGACGACTCCTATGGCGCTGACCCAGTAGACCCAGAAGTCGCTTCGGTTCTGAGGACAGACATAATATATCAGCGTATGTTTCACGGGCCTTTGATGCATACATAACTCACTGGTGCATAGTTGTCTTGCATACTGAATAAACTGCTTGTGTATGCCAGTGGAATGAAGAGTAGGGCAAGGAGGTTGAGTCGTTTGACTCGTTTGGCCTCTTCCAGGTTTTGACGATTGCCAGCAATTGATGCCAGTCCGGTCATGGCTTGCATGAGGTTATCAGCACGTTCTTTTAGAATCTTGAGCCGGAAGTAGACGTATTGAAAGTCTTTCTCGCAATCTTTCCATGTTGACGCCTGCAACCTGGCAGAGCTATTCACCTGACCATCTAAAGGATAGCCAAGACTGAGCATTGCGTCCTCGATATCGTCGCGGTAATTGCCGCACCGACGTGAGATGGTTTGTAGACTCTTCCATTGGCCTTGCTCTTCGACCCATGCCGTAGTAAGCCGAAGTTCTAACGAGGGTAGCATCGCTTTGATATAGTCAACAAGCTGAAGATAATGCGCAGCAACGATCTTCTTCAGATAGATTGCTGATGTCTCGGGCGTAGCCCACTCCTCTTGTGAAAACAAGTCAGAGTGC